CAGCCGCGTCGGAGGCCTCCCCATTCTTCCTGCAGGCGTTTTTGCCTCCGCCACGTTTCAGCCCTCTCCACACAACCCCTTTCCCTGACCGCGCCATCCTTCTTCCTCTCAGTTCTCTCTTATTCTCTATGCGTCTCTCTCTCTCTCTCTGTGAATTTTTCTCTCTCTTTCTCTTTATCTCTCCCTTTCTTTTTCATCCCACTCTTGTCGCTTTCTCTCTCTCTCTCTCTCCCCTCCTCTCCTCTCCTCTCTTCCCCCCTTCTCTCTTGCTTTCCTTGTCACACTCTCAATCCATCCAGCCTGATCTGCCCGCCATCTCACCCTCCAATTCTCCACCCACGCAACGCGTTCCAGCCGCCACTGACACCCCTCCCCCCCCCTCCCCGGTGCAACCTGCCTCTGTCCCCTAGTCCTCTTCCTCCTTCCATCCCCTCTGCCTCCCCGTTACTCCACCGCGGTGCCACTCTCACGCCGCCGGCAACCACGCAGACCCCGCCTAATCGTGCCACCCCCGGCTTGATTAAAGAACAGAGAGGCCCCGACGCGCGAGGGTTCCAGCCGTTAGGTCTTCTCTCTTTCGCTCTCTCGTTTTCCTTTACTATGTCACTCTCGTATTTCTTGCTTCTTCCGCGTTATCGTTCCTCTTCTCTTGGTCATCGTCCGTAGGATCCTTCTGAGCAAGGCCCTTTATACGGGATGTTAGGTCGACCACGTGGACGTCCTAACATCCCGAGAAGCCACGCGACTTGACGCGGTTACGCCACGCGGAGATGGCGTCCATCATCTTTCTTCTCCTCGTGACCTCGCTTCCTCCTCGCGTTTCGCCGTTCATTCGTCTCTTAAACTTCCCTCTCCTTCTCCCTCGCATCGAGATTTCAAGGTTACTTCGAGAGGTCGTACATATACAATTGTGAACTTGTAACGAACCTTCACAGTCTTTTATACTTATTTTAAATATACATATTTTTATATATACTTTTTTACCCTTTTGGATCAGTTCTATAATTAGAATTCGATTCCTTGTCTGGATAAAAGAATTGCTATTCTATTTTAAAAACTCTATTCACACATACAATTATACATTCAAATTCGTATCAAAAAGGTTGTGTCCTGAAAATTAATCATGAATTTTGAGAAATCTTAATGCACAATGTTTATTCATATACTAGATAATCATATATTATAATACCATTTTATAAAATAACTCATTCTTGTTATAGTTTCGATCGAATATTTACTCAACTTTAAATTTCTGATCCACAACCTACGCAAAAACATTTGCCTCCCAAATATATATATATATTTCCGACTAATTCGCACATCTCGAGTTCATAAAAAGCTGAAAGAGAACAAGCATCTTCTCGACGGCAGTTTTCTAAGAAGCGAATTTGGTCCATGAAAAGCCGAAATCGTACGGACGTCTCGAATTGATGTCATTGCAACGATCGCCGAAAATGGATCGCCGGCGCTGATTTTCAGAAGCGACGTTTGGTGGGTGAACGGACGGT